TGACCAACTTCTCATTAGTATTATCCCTGGGTGCCATATCCAGTGAGAAATTACTAGATTTGAAAGTGAGGGTAGGGAAATAGTTACAAACCATGTAGGAAAGAAATAAACATAAGGGCAGATGTTTATAAGGTGTCGTAGTTTATATGGAAATGGCTAGTAAGAAAATCTTGCCCTTTGAATAGTGAAATATTTGATAAGAGCTAAAGAGCCAGAGTAGCTGAAGCATGGCATCTCTTGACACCTGAATCTGAGTGGTTGCATTTACGCTATGTTATTGTAACAGTCTTCTCTTTTTGTTTAGGTTTGACTGATGCATTTATTTCAGTTGAAGAAAATAGGGAATGGGGCATAACTTTTCCATAAGAATAAAAATATTGCTTTTCAGCCATGTCCACCCATAATATTGGAGTGAGCAGACATTCTGTTCTCCCTCCCATTGTTCCAGACAGTGATAAGAGATTTTTGGACAGTATACAAAGATACATCATTACAGAAATTGAGAAACTGGGTTGTACAGAGCAAGGACCCGCTGACGAGTATTACATTATATACAGAAATGTGTTTGACAAGGTAACAAAGAACTGTAGAAAAATATTTTCTGTGTAAACAAGTGGTGGAAAAGGCTGCCAAATTTACATGCAGTGACAAATAGGAAATGTTCTGTGTCATTTTTTAAAAATTTTTGTACTGCTCTGCTATTTCAGAGCTGCCCTAAAGCCAACATTGGTGACTCTCAACAATGCACTAGGGATGTAAAATCCTGTGCAAATTGTTAACTGGTTAAACTATAGGTTTAACCAGTTAATGGCAATATGCTCCATGGGCAGAGAAATGCTGGAGCAGCCCCTACCCCCCACAACACGATGGGCCCAGCTGGGTTGCAGGCAGTGGACAGTGCTTACTGGTAAACCTTTACATCCCTCAATGTACCCCTTACGGTGGTGGTTTTGTGACATGGACAACTAGTAACTAGAGTGAGACCACCAAGTCACTTCACTAAACAGCCATTATAAAATACCATAGAATTGGAGTAAGGTAGTATCAGAGAAATCTGTAGCAATGATGCTCTGCAGCACAGTTAAGCTGCTTTTTTGCCATGAACTTTCCCTTATTTCAAGATGTAGCAAGATATGGAATTTTTCAAGCTGCATACAAATGCTTCTGCTTTTTAACATTTCTTCATCTTCCTTATTTCTGAAGGCTCTTTGCTTTGACATTAATTTCATGTTTTTATATTTCATTAGTTGTCCCCTCAAAAAATGGAGTTTGACACTCTGTGATGGAGCTAGCCACTGAGCTAGCAATTTAAAACCAGCTTGTACTTCCCATTGACTGTATTCCATTTTAGGGGATTCAAATGCTTTAAACCTGTTGATCTGATGTTTGTTAATACTACATACATTGATTTAGTATTCACAGGACAAATCTTGGCCTCTGCTTTTCTGTAAATATACATATTGATTTTATAAATCAAAATCTATAGTGGCATCCAGCTGGAATGGCTACATTGAAAATCAGGTTTTTTTTGTTCAATTATATACTCCCTTACTGAACTTGACCATTTTAATTGCAGGAATAAGCCTGACATACAGTCTCAGTGGGATTTATATTTTCTCCCTCCTGCGAGCTTTGATCTGAAAGATCTTAGCCTATAATAAATGCCTGAAAAATAATGGCTGGTGTTAGACTCCTAATTCCATTTACTCATTAGGATGGAATGAACTTGTTTCTGTGGACAGCTTTCTGCTTTTCCAGTGAGGTGTTCTCCCATTTTTTCTCGCTTTCATATCCCTCCTGTGTCATACTCAGAGTTGTCAGCATTCTTCTAGATGAGGAGGACTGAATATAATCATTTTTGGAGCCCATCAGTGCTGCTCTTGAATAAAGTTTTGAAGATCCTGAAAGCCTTCCACTATGTCCTATGTAATTCACTCTGTTGTGCCATTAATTTTTCAGCTGCCAAGAGAGATGCAATGTATAGGAATCAAACCTGGGACTTCTGCTTAGCTACTTCAACATGCATGTTAAACCACATTTTATATCCTTTGCATGCATGAGTAAGGCCTGCAGGATCAGCCCACCCAGATTGTGAATTTGAGCTACTACTTTATGCTATTTAAAAAAAGTCTTAGCCTTGTATCTTCTTCCTTAGTCTTTCCAAAGCAGCAAGTGCTGTGGAGGCATTAGGCCTGATACCTGTTGATGAAAGATCTCACGTTGTTCAGAAGTAGTTCTGGCAGCATAAAGAATGATATTCAAATGTTGTTAATAATATTTGTGATTATTTAAGCTGAAAGAAGCATGGAGTTCATTTATAGTGTTTGTGCACTTTCATAATCTTGAGCAAAACATGTTTTGTCAGTTTTAAGTTCTGCTACTCCTGCATTAGCACAGTGCTGCAGTTTACCATGTGAAATGTGTACAGTGTCTAATTGTTTCTTTTTACTCTGACTGTTGTGCTGTTTGGAGATTTGCAGGGAGTCAAAAGGGGTTTTCGAAGGTGCAATATATAGCATTAAGATGGAAAAACATGTGTTCACAGATAATAGAACATGTTACTGTGTACAAGAACATTCTGACTTCAATCAAACAGGAGTATGATGCATTTATTGAAGCTATAAAAAAAGGTCAAAAGAATGCATTTTATCTTCATGGAAAATTAAAAGTTCTTGCATGTGAGCCTACAACTCTAATATATTATAAAAAAAGGACAATCCAACTTGAAGACAAGTAAGGCCACCACTAATATGTTGTATAATGACACAGTGCTTTAACTCTAGTTTATAAATTTAAAATGTAATTGGTTTATCACAGATGTGGCTTTTAAGAAGAGGTTATATTCTTTTATTCTTCATTGGGTGGAAGTCCCACAATGACTTATATTTGTTAAAAGAATAATTTAGACTTTTGCATTTCCAGGCCTAATTCTGCAATTCTTGTGCAGTCAAAACTTCCACTGAAGAGAATGAAAATTTGGCTTGCATAAGTACTGCAGAATCAGGCTGTTGAGTTTAACATATGCTCTTCCACCATTTGTAAAATAAAGACAGAATAATTTCAAAGTGAAGGTTCATTGTCAATGTATTCTATAAGGCTACTTTGTTTAATTTGAGAGGTATAAAACAGAAAGAATTCACTTTCCTTCCATCTACTGTGTGGCTTTCCTTACTGTCTTGTACTTTATAGGCATCATGTAATTGCATATATGTGGTAAAATTATCAGAAGGTGCATGCCTCTAGCCACAAACAGAATCAAAAGGGCATGTTAGGGAATGCAAATAACTGACAATGACTGAATAGTATTGTGACAAGCTTAGTATAGCATCTCATTGCCCTGATAGTCTAGGATTCTAAGGTGTAGAAAAGAAAATCAGGAGTCTTTTTTTCTTTTTTTTGCAGGATAAACGTTATTGAAAGAAATTCTACTAGAATTCAAAATCTGATATTGAAAATAAGAAATATTAAAAAAGTGCCTACTACAGAACCTTTGATTCCAAGAAAAAACATAAATGCTGCTAAGCCTATACCAGGTAAAGACCAATATTTTGTTAGTTTGAGCATTTCTTTTGTGTTGAAGCTTAAGAGAAGCCATATATACATACAGGCTGCATTGACCTTATAAGGCACTGGATCATGTCCCACCCCTGGGAACTATAGAATTGTTGAGTAACCAATAGGAATTAATGCTCTTATTTGACTATTCAATAACCTGAAAACATCCACTCAGTGTGTAGTGGCAGTCAAAAAAGCAAATGGAATGTTAGGAATCATTAAAAAAGGGATAGAGAATAAGACAGAAAATATCTTATTGCCTCTATATAAAACCATGGTATGCCCACATCTTGAATACTGCTTACAGATGTTGCCTCATCTGAAAAAAGATTTACTGACATTGGAAAAGGTTTAGAAAAGGGCAACAAAAATTATTAGGGGTTTGGAACGGGTCCCATATGAAGAGAGATTAAAAGGACTTTGACTTCTTAGTTTAAAAAAGAAAAGACTAAGGGGAGATATGATAGAGGTCTATAAAATCATGACTGCTATGGAAAAAGTGAATAAGGAAAAGTTATTTACTTATTCCCATAATATAAGAACTAGGGATCACCAAATGAAATTAATAGGCAACAGGTTTAAAATGGAAGGAAGTTTTTCTTCACTCAGCGCACAGTAAATCTGTGATACTCCTTGCCAGAGGATATTGTGAAGACTAGGACTTTAACAGGGATTAGAAAAGAGCTACATAGCCATTGATGGACCTAACCTCCAATAATCTGTTAGCCAGGATGGGTAGGAATGGTGTCCCTAGCCTCTGTTTGTCTGGAAATGGATGACAGGAAAGGGATCATGTGATGATTACCTGATGTGTTCCCTCCCTCTGGGGCATCTGACATTGGCCACTCGGCAGACAGGATACTGGGCTAGATGCAGGGGCAGCCCATCCATATAGGCGAACTAGGCAGTTGCGTAAGGCACCAAGTTAAATGGGGAGCCAAATGGTGGCACAATATCATTGAGGGGTTTGGAGGTGGGGGCGCTAATTGCATGGTTCGCATAGGGTTCCAGTTGCTGGCAGCTAGTCTAGGGCCACCCATGGCTAGATGGACTTTTGGTCTGACCCAGTATGGCCATTCTTAACCAATATCTGACATCCCTAGTATGGAGTCTTGCTGGCCTCAGGGAGGCATAACATCTTTCAGAGCTCTTTAGTTGTCATGGGAGTGTCCTAACTGTTACAGAACTTCAGACAGCACATGTTTCATTTCACATCCAGCCAGCCCAGCTCTGCTGGCTTGTGTAGGGGAAAGAGGCAAGGCCATGGCTCTACTTCACCCCACTACCTTTTTTGGCACATCTAGAAGGGCTCATATCATGTAGTCATTGAACTCACTAGGCTAGCTTCATGCCTAGGCAAGGAACAGAAGAGAGATGGTGTTTGCCTCTTTGATTCTGGAGAACTGGGAGCCAGTTAAACCCTTTTGTGCAACCTGGGGCATCACTGAGGTCTGTTTTAACTGGCCACTGCTGCAATAGACCCTATTGGTAATTGTAAGAGTGCAGAAAACCCTCAACATTCTTCCTCCCTCCTTCTGTCAATGTTTGCTCCTGCATTATGTGAGGATGTTCGTTGTGTCAGGACCTTCTGCAAGGGGTTACAGAGCCATCTCTGGGGCTGCTGCACAAACCTCTTTGCTCTGAAGGGTTGATTCTTAGGATGGGGAGCTTAGATCTGTTCCATCCCCACTTTGGAGTCAGAGCAGCCAGGTCAGAGGGGTCATAGAGCAGAGATCAATTCCCCCACTGAGCACAAATATTGGTTTTGACTAACTCATGTGTGGCAGTGCCAGGGCAGAAGTCTCCTCACATCTTTCTTTCACGTTACCCAGAAGATGGTCACAATCTGGCCGGTAATGTTTGGTCAATATTTAACAAATGGAATCTAAATAGCTAGGTGTACACATCTACTATATAACACAGCATTTGTACATTTGTTTGTAAGTCCTCATTGCTGGAACTTTACACCAAAAACTAGCAGATTCATTTAGAGCTGTGGAATATCATTGAACCATTAACTTTTATAATCTTCTATGCATTTTTTTCAGTTATTAGATAAGATCTGAACTTTGCAGCTCCTATGACTATCTCTAAGACTCTGTCATCTTCCTTTTATTCAGAGTTGATTTTCAGGCTAAAGAACCCTAGCAAATTACATGTCCCACAATTTTTGTGTACATTTCCTGTTTTTTAACAATCAAGAGCTTATGAAAGTAATTTCCTTCTTCAATAGGTCTGACTGTAGAAGAATCTCTCAGCTTAGATACTCTTTCTAGACACCTTGCTCAGCTAGAAAGAAGAGTGAGGGAACTGAAATCTGATATGATATCAAAATACATCCCTCTGGAGAGCAAGGCTGGTCTAGAGCAAGAACTCAAGCGCTCATTGGAACTACGAGATAAGGCAGAGGCAGAGAATGAGAAACTCAGACTTAGGTACAAGTGTTTATCCCTAAATTTATCTTGTTTTTATGTTGTTGGTATTCTCTACGTCTGTCATGTAGATTTAGCTTTGGTACATTAGTAATTGTTAATATTGATATTGTTAATATTTGATCATTTACTGATCTCTGTAATTGTGCTCAGTACTTTGCAAAATACATGGAAAGACATAGTCCTTGCCCCAAGGAGCATAAAGTCAACAGACAAATAATGCAATGTGGCTAGAGGGTCAAGTCCTGCTTTGTCCATTGTTCAAAAGACATAGAGCTGCCTCAAACTGGCATCCAAGGATTTCCTGGATGTAGGGGAAATACTTGGATAGTGGATGACAGCTGATGAAGATCCCCTGCTGGCCAAGTGGTGCTGAGGGGACTGCTCTAACTGGTATAATCTAAATTAGCCCTTAAGTGATTTAAGTTGCGCAATTGGCAGTTTTGTCTTTCATGTGCTCCGAGATTGTGGGAGATGAAAGGTTCCTTAAGCTGAGTGCAGCTTGCTGGGATCAAGATATATCCAACTCTTAGTATGCTAGTGATGTGAAGGAGCTTTCAATACAAATTGGTACGGAGCTTTTAATGACGTAAATATGACAGTGTTCCCATGTTTGGTGGATTACTGATGCTTGGAAGAGATGAATTATCAGAAGAGTTTTAAACAAGATGGTACCTTTTACTTCAGGACAGACAAGGACTCCCATTTGTAAGGGGCAGCAAAGAAGAAAGCACCAAGGTGAAAGTTGGAAGATAAAAGGGAAGCAGTTGGGGAAGGAGGCTTGGATGAAGGGAGAGGAGAGGTTAGAATGAGGTATATAGGTAGGATGGAGCTTTGTAGAGCCTTGAAGTTAAGAGTTAGCTTGAACACAATGATCGTTCATAGGAAACTTCTTTAAGCTGGAGTTACACTGAACCTAATGCAAAATTAAATTTCCTCTTTAACTCTTTACAGTTATAATAGAATTACATTGGTTGCAAATGCTGTGTCTGCGTGGGCAAAATCTGACAAGAGCACCTCCTTGCAAGAAGTCCTCTCTCAAGCAATGGAAAAAAAGGAAGCTGTAAAAGGTAAAAGAAGTACAAATAGAAGGACAATATTATGATTCCTGGAGAATATGCGACCATATATTCAGTATATGTAAATTTATCTATTTCCCTTGATATCAGTGGAGCCATGGCATCTTATACTGAAAATCTTTTATTGTTTTTAAAATGTGGGATGGGATTTTCAAAGGGTCTTAAAAGAATTAGGTGTCCAAATTCCATCTGTAATGATCTTGGGTCATCCATTTCCTCAGTGCATGATGATGCATCTGTGGATCATTTAGAGAACTAAGATTTTTGCTCAGAAATCTGATAAAAGGAAAATATTCACTGGAATTATACAGGGATGAATTTGGTCTCTGATTATTTTATTACAGTAAGATGACAGTAAGATGTCCTGGGGTGGTTTATACAACCTTCACTTCTCATGAGTTACCCTGACCATTTTTCCGGTCACGTTTCCTACTGCTAGTACTTCAGATCATCTAGATTATTTAGTCAGGTGAAGTAGAGATGGTGAAAGATCTTTATAATGTCTTCTAGACCAATTGCCTTAGGCCTTCTGACATGTTAAATCTTTTTAAGATCATTAAGCACACTCCAAACACTGCATCTCAGGTACTACATGAATACAATGCATTGGTGTGCTTGGCATCAAATTGAATCTTACTTGTAGTTCTCAATCTGTATTGGTGTAAACCAGTAAGGGAAACTACCTCTTATATTCCTCTATCTGCCTCTTCTTTGAGATTGTGTGTAAAATTTTGCTCCCATTTACACCCCTGTTTATATGTGCACTGAATTCAGTGGAGTTACAAATCAGAATCTGTCCCTGTGTATGTTCAATTAGCATGCTAATTGGAACTTTAAGTGTGGTCTCTGCTTTTGTCTGAGCTAAGGGTCAAAATTCTGCCCTGACTAATATTCTGTGCAGCTGCATTGGTTTCTGGTGGAACTGTATTTCAGTTAATAGAATTTGGTCCTTACGGTGTCACCTCTCATTCCTAATCTCTGGCAGCCTTAGAGTTACCTGGGGATATAGAGAAATGTTTTCTTAGAACTTACCTGCATGGTTGAAAATGTTCCCTCGTTTCATTTCCATTTATGGGAGACTACATCAGTCTCAGCAACGCATAAAAATGCATTAGTTTATTTAAGGTCCCTTTCTTGCTTACTAATGTGAAAGAGCCTGGTTAAAATTACAAATCCACCTTTCTTAAAATCCACATTTTGTGGATCAGAATGTATTCTCTTGCATTGTTAATGCTGGTTTTGCCTGAAATAATAACACATTTACCTCCCATTGATATGTCTAACTTTCAGCTGCCATCTTTAGCATTTCTAATATATTTGAACATGACCCCAACAAGAGTAAAGAGGCTGAAGATTTGCTTGAATACATTGAAAGGTAAATAAAATGTAATTCTTCTATTCTACTCTGTGTAAACAGTTTATAGCATTACAGAGTTTAGATATGATGTTATGTTTAATGCAGTTCCTCCAGAGCAATTAAGGTCTTGTAAAAAGAGCACTATTTTCTTCTTTTTGTGAATTTCTGGTGTTTGTAAATGTGCTTACTAGCCTGACATCCCTTTGGAACTATATCAATTGGTTATCCATAGACCAGATGCAAAAAAGACAGCTTCTCCACACTGCTCTGTTCTTGTGCATCACCTCTGCCCTAGAAGATCACCTTTGGAGCTAAAAGGGTAGTTTGTACTTTATGACTGATTCCATCCTTGGCCTCTTTGCTAAAACTGCCAACAAAGATACCTGCAGTGGAGGTGGGGTGGTATGAACATCTATGAAGAGATTATCTTGGTCTAGATTTTTTCCTAAAGATGCTAATATGTACCTAGCATGATTTTCAAAAGTACAAGGTGCCTGTTGGGAGTTTGGTGCTTCATTTTCAAGTATCTAAATACCTTTAAAACTCCTGAAATTAAAAATGGGAACAGCAAGATCATAAACTCATTTCACACAGTTCGCTAAACAGCCATTAAATGATAACCACTTCCGGGTGCTATCAGCATATCTTAGATTTGGCACTAGTTTGTTCCATGAGCTGAAAAGCTGTATTCCATTATAGCAGTCCCTCCCAAATCATCATAAATATAACATTAATTGAAATCTAACTGCAACAGCTTCTTTCTGGAGGTTGATATTTATTAACAGCAGTGCAAAAATCAATCTTTCAGAAGAAAATCTGACACAGTCTGTAGGTGACAATGACAATAGTATAGTCAATTTTAGTTAGGACATTTCAGGGGATTAATCATTTTATTTTTACAGGCTCTGAATTCAGATAACTGAACTCTGAGTCTACATTTAGTTTTCCTTAATAGAGTAATCTGGAACTAGATTGCACCTCTGCTTCTTTTGAGTACACTGAAAGGGGTGCAGAGAAAGATCATGTAGTAGATGGAGCTCTGAGGAGGAATTCTGGCTTGGAGCACATGCCATGGCAGCAACTTGGCCACCCACTGAGCAAATACAATGTACGCTGTCCTCCATGCCCAGCTAGTGATAGAAACCAGTGTGGAAATCATGGCATCAGCCTCCCCTGTCCTTCTTGCCTGCTATCTTATGAACAAAGGAGCCCTAGGGGGGGATCAGGGATGACAATATCCAGCAGGATTCTAGCCAGTCTTAGCATAAAGGGGAAACTTCTTGCCTCTCTCATGAGCCAATACAGAGGCTGGGCAGAATCTAACCCCAGGGCATTTTCTTGCTAGCGGGTGTTGTTTGTTATGCAACCTGATTTCCTTGTTTAAATGCCTGACAAGCCTCCTTTCCTTTGGTCAGCTTTCTTTGATGATATGCTTCCTGAAAATCACTGTGGACTGTGTGTAAGTTGCTAGGCAGTAGTCCACATTAGCTATACTGATTATCTGTACTAAAAGAAGAAGCCTAGGAAAAAGTAATTTTGGAAACTGAGACCCACTCAGAATGCCACTTATTGTCACTAGATATGCTTTCATACAGAAGTTCTAGATTTAAAAAAAAATTGTATTAAAGTTATGGTATTGCCCCTGTCTTTGACATTTGATTCTAGACTTTCTGGAATTTCTCCTTGACTAGTTCACCACATCATCAACTGATTATTTCTTTTTAATTTTTGTTCTAGTGCTATATTACATTATTTTCCTCCTTTTGTCCTAGATTCAATGAATTATTTTCATATGGTCAATATGAGGCTGCAGCTATTTATGCTGCAAACTGTCCTAGAGGAATTCTACGCAATGAAGAAACCATGATGAAATTTAAGGGTATGGAATTTAGATGGGAAATACTATTGATCAATGCTCAGTTGGTATAAATTGACAGTACTATTGATTCAGATAGTGTGACACTGTCTTACACCCACTGAGAATTTGGCTGTTAATTCACTTTGAAAGAAGTCTTGAGAGGACAAACATGAATTATTTATGTATGTTTGGACTTTACATTTAACATTTCAAACTAAAAATAAAATCAACCTAAGGGTACATCTACGTTGGGATTAAAAAATCTGTGGCACAAAGTCTCAAAAGCCCAGATCAGCTGACAGGCTTGCAGGGGCTGTGCTACAAGGCTAATGCAGTGTAGACATTCATGCTCAGGTTGGAACATAGGCTTTGAGATCCATTCCCTTCACAGGTCTCAGAGCCAGGGTTCCAGTCTCAGCCTGAACATCTACATTGCAATTTTATAGTACTGCAGCAGTCAGCTGACCTGGGCCAGCCACAGCTGTGTCACAGATCTCTTATTGCAGGGCAGACTGAGACAATAGATCCTTGGTGCTGTGTGTGGTCACTTTGCACTGAGGCAATGCAAAGGGGCCAGACAACTGGATTCTCCATGCACAAAGGAATCCTTGAGTGGCATACAGACAGCATTGCTGACTCTGCCACTTACTCTTCCTTCTCTGTGTAAGGGATGTGCCAGAGCAGGCTCTGGGTGATGGGACAGCTCAGAACACAGAGAGCTCCACTCAGTTCATGGCCACTGCAAAATGTAGATTAGTCATTAGACTTCTCTATGTTATGCTGGTGGCCATTTTAGTCATTGGTCAGGCTGAGAATCTGAGGAGGCATAAAGTTTGATTAAAACTAACCTTCCTTCCTATGTGGTGCAGCTCAATAGTGATCTTAAGGTCTAGTTTGAAGTTGTCAAAGCTCGTACTTAATTGGTCTTATTTACACTTATAAATTAAGTGTATGCAAATATATAAGCATGTTTGTGCACATCTGATTTTGAAAATCTGACCCTGCATGCCCTATGCATTAGCTAGAAAAGTTGCTTGAATCACCTGGCAGTGTTCCATTTAGCTTCTAATTAAGGTCTGATATATAGATCATTATCAGTCCATTAATGATCAGAAATGCTGTTTACAAGCCTGAGATAAATGCAGATGTATTCTTTGGCTGCTTTTAGTCCTCTGTTTTCCTTTCAATTTCAGGACAGTTCTCATTGTCAAAGCTGAATGAAAAGTGAAACAATCAAGTACAGGCAGTCCCTGGGTTACATGGATCCGACTTACAAACAGGGTGAGGCAACCCTGCACTAGCTGCTTCTCCCCAGCAGACCAGGGAGACGCGAAGCTAGCACCCCCCCAGCAGACCAGGGAGACGCAGAGCGGCTTTTCTCAGCAGACCCCTCAGCTTGAGAATAAAGGGCTAAGGGAAGTGAGGTGTGGGAGAATAAAACTGAGCTCTGGAGAAATGTTTGGCTAGAGTTTCCCCTACAATATGTACCAGTTTCGACTTACTTACAAATTCAACTTAAGAACAAACCTACAGTCCCTATCTCATACGTAACCCAGGGACTGCCTGTAGTAGGCATTACTGGGGTCAGTGGTGCAGCAGTTGCCACTTAGTCTTTCCCCTGCATTGGCTGAACTTTGTAAAGAACATTTTCTTCCTCCTCTTTTCACTTTATAGGGAATTGTTAAAGACCAAAAGTAAAGAAGTACAAAAGAACTATTTTGAACTAACATTCAGAATCTGGATTACAAATTAGTAAAATCTATATTAGGGCTTTTTCTCTGGCTAAAATTTACATACTTACTGAAAAATGTGTTCCATAGCATTACATGCGTCAGTAGCAGTGAGCAGAGTTAAGTGAATGCATATGTGTTTGCAGGATTGGGACCTTAGATATAAATCTTTGGGAACATAGTTTGAGTCTTTCTGTGCCTCGTAGAACAGTGCACAATTATGACTGGTGCTATCTCAATACAAATAATAAGCAACAATATATAAATAAAAAAGATCAAAGCAAGGAAACAGTTAAAGTTATATTTACTGTTTACTATAAAACTGACATCCTCTGTAAGCTATCTGTAGCCTTACTACTAGGAGGTGTATTTTCAACAGGATATGCAGACATTTCATTTGACAACTCCATGTAGCCTCAGTGGTTTAAATGCGCACATTTTATTATTGAAAATTTGCCCTTTCAGGTGTCCACAGATAAGGGCAAAAATCCTGTGATGTGCCTGCCATCTTCTGTGCTGAGCAACCTCAGCCTTCATTGACTAGCATGGTGGCATTAATGGTTCAGCACCTTGCAGGATTGAGCTTTCAGCTCTGATTTGTCCAGTGGATTTTGGGGCTATCAGAAAAAAAAAAAAAAAAGAAGAAGAAGCTATTGCAAACTATTTTGCTCAGTGACTTTTCATTTTCTCCTCCTAGCTCTTGGTGCTGTTAAAGGAATGACTCTCCCTTTGCTGCGATATTTTGAGGCCCTCATAACCTCAAGTGCTGCAGTTAGACACCCTCTGAGTGCATCTATGACTCTGGAAGCAATGAAATGTGCATTGTCTGAAAAACAGTTAAATCTAGTTATGCACTGGGTCACACAGCAAAGGTAAGTAGGCCTCTAGTGTACTTGGATACATATAGGTATGTGCCCTTCCCCTCTGAAAGTTTCATGCATGCTTTTCCTAAGTGATCAGGCAGACCTTGCCTACTAAAAAAAGAAAAAAACACTCCCCCTTTCTTGTAAATTAGAATCATGCAAATATTGATATGACAAAATGGCAATCTAACAGATTTATTTCTTTGATTCCATTTCTTAAACTCACCATTGTATAAACCAAGACAAATGAACAGCATGAAAAGCTATGTTTGCAAAATGAAACATTTCATATTAGTCTCTGTTAGATTGCAGCAGACCAGAATTTTGTTTCAGACCCCTTTTTTCCTATATTCTGGTAAAAAGTTAAATAAAAACCGGATTGTGAGACAGAGTTTTGCTGTGATACCATTTAAAAAAAATAGAAACCTGCAGTTATTGGAAAAGCTCAAGGGTTTGTTTTTACTCTTATATGTGACTGTTTCTATAATAGCAGTAGCATTTATACCAGGGGCCAGCAACCTATGGATCACAGATATGGCTCTCTTGAAGCTGGAGCCCAGCCCCGCTCTGCTCCCCCTGCAGCAGGCAGCCTGCACTGGCACTAAAGCAGGCCTGGGCCAAGCAGGGAGCCCCCAGGCAGCCTCCCCTGCTTGTCCTGCCCCCGCACATTGCACAGAAAAGCAGCTGTGAGGCCCTTTGTTTTCCACACACCGTGAGCGGGCAAGGGCGTGGGGAATGGTGCCCCATTCGCTGGTTCTGGCCAATGGAAGCTACCTGTTTCAAGAACAGGAAATACGGGAAGCATCAGTCCCCCTCCCCTCAGGCTCTTAGTCACTGAGCACATGGCCAGGCAGCCTGTGTGAGGGCAGGGGAGGCTCCTGCTAGAGAAATGGGCTGAGCTGTAAATCTCACTGATAAGTGTTCCAAGCCAGAGGCTGCCTCTGTAACTCCAGTCCCTCCCTTCCCCAGCCCTCTGCCTCCCCCTCCTTACCCCACATAACCCAAACCCTCTGCCCCCCTCCCAGATACTGCACTGCAGTCCCCTGCCCTAGGTCACAATCCGGACCTCTGGCCAGACACCCAACTGCACCCTGGCCATACACCGACCTGTATCCCACTCCTGCCTTTTCCCCATTGGCCAGACACCTATTCCCAGTTTGCTCCTGCACCCAACTGCACCCTGGCCAGACACCGACCTGTATCCCACTCCTGCCTTTTCCCCATTGGCCAGACACCTATTCCCAGTTTGCTTCTGCACCCTATCTCCCACTCAGATTCTGCACCACCATCCCTATCCAACTTACTTTCAGCTGTCCCGCACACTGTACCCATCATTTTTGGCCTCACCCCAGAATCTACTAACCCTGGAACCTCAGAAGAGTTAACTGTTCTGGAGCCTTGAATCTCAGTCCTCCCTGCCCTTCTCTCCCCTCCCCATGAAGCTGGAGTACTTGGGGAGTGAGGTGCTTCAGCTTGGGGGCACATGAATGAGGGCTGGAGGTTTCTGGACACGTTGGGGTTTTTTTGCTTCTCATTTGTGTGGTCCCCAGCTGATTTTTCTGTGGGACAGTGGCCCCTAATCAAAAAAGATTCCCCACCCATAAATTAAGACAATGTTGAAACCTTTTGTGTTGGATATATTATTTTACTTTATTTAAAAATGAAGCCTGGCCAGCAAGCCCCCAATTGGGGCCCAGCCTCCATCTGGCTGCAGCATCATAACACTTCTGCATACCCTAGCCCTGAACCCATCGTACACCTGAATCCCCTACCCTGAACCCTCTTATCTCCACATCCCCATATTCCTGCACCCCGACATCCCCAGTCTCCTGCCATAAGACTCCTGCATCACTCACACACCTCAAAACTATTCCCTGAGCCCATCATACAGCCAACGCCTCTGCCATGAGCCCCTCATACGCTCCAATCCAAACTCCTGCACCACCACATTCCCAGTCCCCATTATAATATTGACAGAAGACAGCCTGAATGCATGCACGAAGCTGGATTTGACCAGCTATGATGTAAACTTCAAAGAAATGTGCAAAAAGATGCAGTAGCAGAAGTCCCATTAAAGTAAGTCTGTGAGCACAATGTTTCATTACTGCAATTATTAATGTCAATTATCATTAATTTTAAGTTGTATACAGGCAGTCCCCGGGTTACGTACAAGATAGGGACTGTAGGTTTGTTCTTAAGTTGAATTTGTATGTAAGTTGGAACTGGTGTCCAGATTCAGCTGCTGTTGAAACTGACCAACAGCGGCTGAATCGGACACGCCTGGGGAAGAGCAGCTGGGGTGCTGCTGGGTTGGTTCCGCAGCGCCGCTCCTCGGCGCTGCTGGACCAACCCAGCAGGACCCCAGCTGCTCTGCCCCAGGGGTCCCTGATTCAGCCGCTGCCGGATTATCGGAAGGTTACCG